AGGAGGCCGAAGAGGCTTGTCGGCGGCATCGCCGACCAAGAGACAGGCGACGCGAGGGAGGGAGATCCGTGCGCTGGTGGCTTCGGAGAAGGTAGGTCAGAACTGGAAAGAGGGACACCGGAGGGAGATCCGGTCGGCGCCGCCGGCTGGAAAGAGGGACACCGGAGGGAGATCCGGTCGGCTAGCGGCGCCGGCGTGGAGGGAGATCTGGCGGTGCGAGGTGCGGCAAGCAGCTAGGGTTCGCGAATGGTCCTGGTGGGTGCGAGGGTTTTCAACCTGGGGAAAGGAGGGTCGCGTGAGCTGATAAGGGAGAGAAGGGCTTTAGAAAATATATATAATAATATTATTATTATAACATAATAATAATAATTACTCAATTAACATCTTTTCGCACATTTTTGCCGAACACGTCATCGCGATAAAATGAGCCTCACCCATAAGTAAAATCAACGTTTTGGACGCGACTGCGCAGACCGTTTCGTCTTTCGGGGTCCTCCGGACCACTTTTTCGTTGATCGGGCTAAAAATGATTGCGCATTTTTAGCCCACATGCGAAATCGCGGTGCAATGGATGTCCTTCCCAAGTGGAATCGACGTTCCAGACTCACTCGCGTGGTCCGTTTTGTCGTATGGGGTCATCTAGACAACTTCGCTAGCGGTCAGGCCAATTTAAGTCAATTCGCGCGTGATGTGACACATAATATTCGTGGACCCGATCGGAGTCGTCCGCGTGCAGAATGTCGACCGGCCTTTCTCTAAGCAAAAATCAAAGTCTAGCAGAATGACCCTGGCTACGTGCCCCTCCACACGCGCTGAAATGTCTCAGGTGGGTGTCTAAACTACTGGATGTTACGGACAGGCCGTAAACCATCCCGAGCAATACAGGTGGACACCCTACACGCGTGACATAAAAAAATGATGCCGACAGAGGTTTCCATGTAAGAATTTTTTGTCTCTACATATCACTTTTTCTGAGAGTGTGTTGGATTCTCATACAATACTAAGTTGATATCGTCGTGAATTCTCTTGCACATATCAATTACATAAAATTTTATTGAGTTTTCATCATGATCTTCTTACATTTTTTTTGTGAAATTTACATACATACAACACAATTCTTTTGTAGTTACATATCTAACACCTAAAGTTTGATATTTACGTTTATAACACTTTGGTGTCATAAGCTATCCATGAAAAGAAAGTACTTAATTTTTAAAATAGTTAGTTGTAGTGGTATTTTTTATGTGATATTAAATTTTAGAGTGTTATTTATGTATATATGAAACTTTAGGCGTTAGATATGTAAATACACAAGTAAATGTTCAAGCCGCCCCCACCCCCCAATTGTTGCTGGATTTTTTTTTTTAGTTATTGTTATTATTGTTTTGTTTGATAACTCTATCAAGTTATTTTATGGAGATTCATTTCATGCCCCCTTTCTATGGATTTAAGTATTTTTTTTTTTTATTCTTAACCCCACAGGTAACTATGTTAACATGGTGAAGGCTGGAATTATTGATTCTTTTAAAGTCATAAAGACAGCTTTAGTGGATGCTGCAAGGTATTTGCAAAAATTCATGGCCATCATCTTCTATAAATTACTCTATTTATGACAAATTGTTTATGTGGGATTTTTAGTGTTTCGGTTCTTCTTACCACCACTGAAGTAGCGGTGGTAGATCTAGAAGAGGGAAAAGATGAGTCTGGAATCAGAAGAATGCCACAATTGGATGACCTGGATTTATGATAAGATTGAGGACTACGGAGATTTGTAAGAAATTTCAAAGAAGAGAATAATTTATTTCTATTCCAATGAGCATAAGTTATAGGAAAATTTTGGTAAAATGCTACCGCTGCTTCTTATTCTTTCATTTTGCATCATTATTTAGATTCCATTCCGCAAATGCTAGGTGAGTTTAGGGTGTTATTGTACTGGAATATATATTTATAAAACATATTTTATTTCATTTACATCAATCAAATTATATTGTATTGATTGCATTAAAGTTTGTTGTAGTTAATTTATTGTCTTTTTACATTGCTGTATCATAACTTATTTAAGATTAAAGAATGCCATGATAAATGATTGGGTACATACCATCCATTTCCTATGTTTTTACATATCTAATATCTAAACTTTAGTTTTACATTGCTATATCACCAAAATCTTTCATATCACATCAAATATACCACTTCTAAATTTTAGAAATGTGAAGTACACATTTTATAGCATAGATAATGTGACTTGTAAGTAAAAATTGAAATTTTGGTGTTAAATATGCAAATACATAAAATGTAAATCTTCCTGAATGATTTAGATGGCATGAAAACTAGTATTGTGATTTTGCATTCTTCGAATGTTCCCTTCTTTTGAAATCTGGTGTTGTTGGTAGTGTTGTTACTGCTGTTGGGATTGCTCTTGCAGATATTGTTTCGGATGTTTTTGTTGTTGCAGTGGCTGATCTTACCTCCTATGAGTCTCTAATAATTTTTTATGAGAGAATAAGGTGATCTTTTTGTTTGATAACTACATTTCTATTCCTTATATGTTTTTGGTAAGGGAAATTTACATACGTAGCTCACAATTCTTATGTACATACATGCATAGCATTTTTGTGCTTTAAACCTACACATGAAAATGTGTATTTCATTTTTAAAATGTCGTAATAGTGTTATTTTTTATGTGATATTAATGTTTTGAGTGTTGTAAACCTAAACTTCTATTTTTACACAACACTCAAATCTTTATTATGTGATTACTTGTGATTCAGACTTTGTACGTGGATGTTTTTTTTTTTTTTTTTGTTATTTTTGGTAAAATTATTGAGGGCCTGTGGAGAGAGTGGGAGAAAGTGGGGGTTAAGAGGGTGTTATGCTTGTGAAGAAAGAGGTGTTGAGCTCGGGTTTAGTTAGGGTTTTTCAAGATCTAGAACTTGGGTCCGGGTTTTGGTGAGGCGAGAGATGCAATGAGTCTAGGGTTTGTTTGGGAACAGTGGGAAGGAGAGAGGTGCATATTAGGGTTAAAGTTTAGAAGTAAGTAATATTCACTCACTTAACTAAAGCTTCACTGTAATCAATCAGAAAATTGTTTTATCAAGAATTTTTTATATGATCGTCTTCTTAGGGGTTGTCCTGGTAACATATTTAAGCTGAATTTAACTTAAATTTTGTCAAAGAGAAAAACAAAGAGAAATTTTAAATCCTGGATCTTGTAAATCCAGTTCCTTCTCAATTTCTTTTCAGCTTTGCTTTAAATCCCTGATTTACTAAATTCTGGCGTTGGCAAGATTTGGTAAATTCAAATTTATAGATTTTAATAAATTTTTTACTAAACAGCCCCTTAGAATATCCAGTGCCCAAGTAGTTTTTCTTCAAATTTTATCATTAAATAGGCAAAAATCAGTAATGTTTAAAACTTACACCAATGGTGAAGAACCGAGTAAAACCTCAAGTCACTTAGGCCTCCAAAAGGCAATGATCATCTATGATATTGGAATCATTAATATAGCCATCCACACGTGGAAATATTTTCCATTATAAAAGATGAATAATTCACCTTTTGATAAACTAGTTTAAAAACATACATATAACTAAATTTATTCAATTGAGCATACAAACATCCATATCTCTATGGTTTCTTCAAGCCAAAGTAGCAAGAGCAATAAGGATCATACTCAAGTATATTTTTGCACGGAACCACATCGTCCCCTCGGCCTTATGTAGGCTTGCACTGGATGGAGCTTATGCATCGTAATTCCCAAGGTATCGACATCATCTCCATCTCCCTCCTTCAACTTCCACTCGAATTCCTGTACTAAACGACCGATAGCTGTGCATGCAATTAGCATCGCCTGGAGAGATCCCGTGCAGACCCTTTTCCCACATGCAAAAGACATCGTCTTATACATGTCCATCTGCTCGTACTCGTCCGACAAAAACCTCTCAGGCCTCCACTCTTTGGGTTCCTTCCAATCCTTCTCATTCATATTGCACGCGTAAAGATTAACGCAGATCTGCGACATATCATTCGTAAGTTAAAAAACATACACTTATAAGCATAATATTTTCACGGAAGATTTACGTACATACCCCTTGATTCCTATGCATTTACACATATATCTAACACTTAAACTTTACTTTTTACTTATATGTCACCTTGCCTATGCATAAAAAAGCGTATTTCACTTTGTAAAAGCTAAAATAGTGATATGATAGGAAAGATCAGGGTGGTATAAATGTTTTAAAGTAAAATTTAGGTTTTAGACATGTAAATATATAGGTATTGGGTGATATGCATGTAAATGCTTCCGGAAGATTTACATACATACCACTTAATTGCTATATATCTAGATATCTAATACAGCTTAAACTTTTATTTTTACATAATATGCCGCCTTTCCTATGAATGAAACTGTGTATCTTTTTTTTTATTTTTATAGTTATATGATATGAAAGATTAGGGTGATATAAATGTAAAAGCTAATGAGTAAAATTTAGTTGTTAGATATGTAAATGCATAGTAAATGTGTGGTATGCATGTAAATTCCCCCTATATTTTCATGCATTGCAGAATCAGAATGGTGGTAAATGAATCACATCAGTCCCAGCTGGAATGTTGTATCCACCCAGTTGGGTGTCTTCATGAACATGACTTGGAAGAGTCATAGGGACTGGAGGATAAAGCCTGAGTGTCTCATGGAAAGCAGCATTCAGATATCTCAAGTGTTGAAGATCCTCCTCTTTGATTTTCTCTGATCCGCATACATTCTGTATTTCCTGATAAATTCGATTCTGCCAAGAAGATAAAAGATGGAATCAGATTTTCGGAGGTAAGTTTTCACCAGGAGATCCCACTATTCATTTACATGCATATATACCACCTAATTCCTATAAATTTGCATGTCTAATACCCAAACTTTGCTTTTTTACATGTATGCTATCCAAATCTTTCATATCATATCAAAAATACTACCTTTTTAAATTCTAGAAAATGAAATACGCCTATTCATGCATAGGTAAGGGTGGCATGTATGCAAAAAGTGAACTTTAGGTGTTAGATATGTAAATACGAAGGAATTAAGTGGTATGTCTGTAAATCTTCCAACAATTAAATCCAACCCATTAGGAACTGGCTTAGAAAAAAAGGAAGAATAGAAACAGAATATTTTCATCTCATAAAGACACAAAAGATGTTTAAATAGTCATTTAAACGTAGTAGACTAACAGGAAAAAATATAGCCAGGCACGAATTAAATCATGGGGAATTTACATACATAGCAACCAATTCTTGTTCATTTACATATATATCACTTAAACTTTACTTTTTACATTTATACCACCCAAATCTTTCATATCACATAAAAAATACCACCATTCTAACTTTTAAAAAGTAAAATACATGCATGTAAAATTTGAAGTTTGGGTGCTAGATATGTAAATACATAAGAATTGAGTGGTATGTATGTAAATCTTCCTTAAATCATTTATCTAACGAGGTTGCTGCAATTCAAGTTTGCGGCATTTACATACATACCGGACAATTCTTCTGTATTTTCATATCTAACACTAAACCTAGTTTTTTATATTTATATCACCAGAATCTTTCATCACTTATGAAGTACTACCATTTTATCTTTTAAGAAGTGAAATAGAAGTTTCATGTATAGGTAAGGTGTCATGTACGTAAAAATTTAATTTTAGGTGTTAGCTATGTAAATACATAGGAATTGAGTGTGTGTATGTAAATCTTCCTATTTTTTTATACCTGTTTGGTTGGATTCTTAGCAATTTCATACATCGCCCACTCAGTTGCCACCATTGGTGGATCAGATGTCTCAATTATTGCTTCCCAGACCAATGCAATAACCTGCTCTTCTGTTAGTGCGCTCTCCGATAACAGGTAATCTAAATAGCATCTTGGTTCCTGTTGTTCATAGATCACTCTTAATGTCAAGTAAAACTTTTGGGGCATTTACATAAAGGAAAATTTACTTACATGCCACACAAATCTTAGGTATTTACATATCTCACAATCAAAGTTTGATATATATTTACATTTATAACATCATGGTGTCATAAATCTATGCATGAAAATATGTATTTCACTTTTAATAAAGTAGTGATGGTGATATTTTTGATGCGACGCTAAAGATTTGAGCGGCATGTATGTAAATATGAATGTTTAGGTGTTAGAATATGTAAATACATTAAGAAACGTGTGTTATGTATGGAAATGCCCCTTACATAAATAGCACACTATTCTTGTTTATTTACAAATCTCACACACAAACATTCATATTTACACACACGGCACTTAATTCTTTAATCTCACATTAAAATTAGCACTATTATCACTTTTTTAAAAGTGAAATACACCTTTGCAATGATAGATTTAAAGCACCAGAATGTCGTGTAAGCATAGAAGTTGTGAGATATGTAAATGCATAAGAATTGTGTGTTATATATATGAAGTTCTCAAAACTTTGGTTGAGTCGATCAAACGAACTATTAGTTAAGGCCAACCTCTTCGTGAGCAATCTGCTCTCTTTTTTCGTCAATCAATGCCTTTGTTACCGCTCTTTTTCGCGTCGCAGTTTGCCGAATCCTCATTTCCATGCTCCTATTTGGAATCCACCTCAAATATGGGAAGAAATCTCTCCAATCAATCTCTAGAACTCTTATCAATGGATCAAGAACTAAGATGTCAATCATCTCTTTCTTGGAAATTGTTGCACCAAGTTCCTCCACATAAATAGAGCCTACATCTCTGCCTAAACTCTGAAAAACAAAAATAATCTTCAGCATCACATAACTCTCATGTATTTACATATCCAACGCCCAAAGTTTGATATTTACACTTGTAACATTTTGGTATCATAAACATATGCATGAAAAGATGTATTTTAATTCTAAAAGGATAATAACGGTGGTATTTTTTACGTGATTTTAAAAATTTAAGTGATATGAATTTAAAAATATGAATGCTTGGGTATTAGATATATAAATACATAAGAATTGTATGGTATGTATGTATGCTATTTTTATGATAAGTGTATATACATACCCCACAGAATTCTTATATAACTTGCATATTCCAACACCCAAAGCTTGATATCTACGCTCATAACATTTTAGTTTGGTGTCATAAATCTATGCATAAAAATGCGTATTTTACTTTTAAAAAGAGAGTGGCGATATGTTTTATGTAATGTTACAAATTTGAGTGATATTCATGTAAATATGAATGTGGGATATGTAAATAAATAATAATTGTGTGGTATGTGTGTGAATACCCCTATTTTTATAAGATTTGTGCATAATTAAACCCTAAAATTGAGTTTCATACTTGTTTCAGGGCCAACTGGAACAGCTCTAATTGAAATATTTCTCTGATTTCAACCAGACCACAATCGTCATCATTAATCTTAGCAGACAGTTTAGCCACAACATTGTCCATCATACAATCCCTGTGAGGGCGATTTCGCTTCTGATATTCCAAAACTTCCTGTTAGCTTTTCTTAATATGTTGAAGAAGAAAACAATATTGGGCATTCACATACATGCCACCCAGTTCCTATGTATTTACATATCTAACACCCAAACTTTTACTTTTTTACATTTACGCCACTTACATCTTTCATATTTCATAAAAAAAAAATATATCATCTTTTTAACTTTAAAAAGCGAAATACATCTTTTCATGTAGATAAAGTGGCATATGTGTAAAATTTGGAATTTTGGTGTTTATACGTAGGAATTGAGTGGTACATATGTAAATCTTTTAAATAAAAAAGGATATATTCTGCAATTTTTGGATAGAAACCTGGGCATTTGTTCCCAGAACTGCTGAAATAAGATGTTTCTTAGCCATTTTATGGTATTCACCGTAGTCACAGGCGACAATAATTTCTTTACCAGTGATAGTTTCTAAGGCATTAGAAAGCTTCCTTGTTGATATGGATGAGAACCTGGTGACCAGTGCCTGCAAAATAGAAATTTATTTTGCTTTAAACTGAAGGGTAGATATGTAAATACACTGGAATGGAGTGGTATATATGTAATTTTTCCCACAAAAAAATAAAATAAAATAATAAATCTGAGTAGTTTACCTCTTTAGACAGTTCTGTTGAGTTGAGAATCACTGTTGAAGAACTCCCTAATTTGATTGAGTATATGGGGCCATAGACCTCTGCCCATTTGGCCAATATATGGTATGGTTTACTCTCCTTCAACTGTAGCAGGTTTCCAAGTAATGGTATTCCAGGCACAACTAGAACACAACATAAATAGAATTTTAGATTTATATGTCTGCCCTACAATTCATGCCCCTTTATTGTCCTTTTTTTATCTTTAATGCATACCACTCAATTCTTATGTATTTGCATATCTATCATCTAAATTTTAATTTTTACATGTGTCACATTATTGTCACGGAGAAAAAGTCTCACAGCGGCTAGGTGTATGGCCGAAAAATAGTATTTAAGTCTTAGGCTGTCCACCACCCTGAAGAGCTTTTTTGAGATGTGACAAGTGGTATCAGAACAGATTATTATTTTTCAAGTGTGTAGACTCTTCATGGTCCAGTGGGACCCAAGGTAGAGTCGATCCGTGACGATGGCACACGTGATTGAGTTAAATTTTAATTTTTATATATGTGCCACATTATTATCACGGACAAAAAGTCTCATATCGGTTAGGTGTATGGCCGAAAAGCAGTATTTAAGTATTGGGCTGTCCGCCACCCCGAAGAGCTCTTTTGAGAGGTGAAAAGTGGTATCAGAGCATATTATTGCCTTTCAGGTGTGTACTCTCCATGGTCCCGTGGGACCCTCTGTAGAGCTGATCCGTGACGAGGGCATCACTTGATTGGGTGGAGGAGTGTCACACACAAAAAATCCCACATCGGCTAGGTTTAAGGTCGATAAACAATATTTAAGTTTTGGGCTGCCCACCACCCCGAAGATCTCTTTTGGGAGGTGACATTATGCATAAAAAGTGTATTTCACTACTTAAAATTATAATCGTGATAATTTTGATGTCATATCAAAGATTCTGAGGGGTAGAAATGTAAATAAAGAAACTTTACATGGTAGATATGTAAGAATATAAAAGAATTAGGTAGTGCTAGTATTTACCCCTAATTATTAAGTAATATTAATGCAATAACTTATATTTGGCTATTAAATCACGACCAATATTCTCTATCAATTAACTTTTTATTATTATTTATATTAATTATTAAGGTTAAATCAATACATTTCTATTTTATTTTTTCTATTAATTTTAATAATATTTAGTAATAGCTTCTCGGAAATTATATTAAATCATAACTAATACAATACAATATTACAATTACTTGTTAATTAATAGTTTACTAAAATAATTTGATTACGTCATATTTAATCATAAATATTAGTAATGAAAATTTATTAAAAATTACTCATTATTAACATTATTTAACCCTCAATCAACCACTGCAAATTTTGAGCTTAAAATTATAAAAAATAATTACATCAACATTTATGTATTTACATACCTAACACCTAAATTTTTCTTTTTATTTTTTTATCCCCAAAATCATGAAAAAATATTACATCAATATTCTGCACGTAAAGTTACGTGCAAAGTCCAATGAAATTATGTCGTGGAGGTGATCGGCCCGGTAACAAAAGGGAATATTACCCTCGTGTTATTCAAGTGTTATTGTATATTATTGATGTTATTGTGTTCTGAGAATATTCTCGGTGTTATAATAACACAATAACACATCAATAATTCTTGAACAATAACACGTGAATAACACTGGAGGAATATTTCTCTGTGTTACCGGCCATAATTTTTTTTTTTTTCACATGGCGTGATTTCATTCAACTCCGCACGCAACTCTACGTACGGAGTCCTGATGTAACATTTTTTTTTTCCAAAATCATTCATTTCACATAAAAATATCACCATTTCAACTTTTAAAATGCAAAATACACCTTTTTTTCATTCACAAATAAGCTGGTATTCATGCAAAAATTGAAGTGTAAGTGTTAAATATGTAAATACATAAGAATATAATGGTTCGCATGTAAATCTTCCTAAAATTTATATAAAATTGCTAACTTTATATCTAACTAAATTATAAAAGCCAGTCAAAAAAAAAATGAAGGGCACGTATGGTTCTTACCAGGTGGAGAGTTGGGTGGTCGTCTCCGGTAGAGTACTAATATACCCATGGCGGCGGCAACGGCGGCAACGGCGGCGGCGATCATCGCCGGAGTTACAGAATATATGCTCTGTAAGTTAACGTCCATTGCTCCAAATTCCCAACTTTTAATAAATTGCATTCTTCACCTCCTCTTTGGTTCTGATACCTATAAATAGCACTCATTTGAGGTTTCCTGAGATTGTGACATGGATAAGTATTAGTTGTGGGAAAATTGCTGTTGAATGTATGGGATGAAAGAGTCGTCAAAATTCATAAAAAAAATGCAAAAAAAAAATGATGGAAAGAGGACAAAAATGAAAATAAAAAATTGTTAGAAAGTTTACTCTGAAGATGTGATTGCCACGAAAACATTATTTATAATTATAGAAATTATATTTTGACACTTTAATTTAATTGTTCAATAGTCTTCCTTGGCTCTAGCCTTTCTCCTTGAGGAAAAATATTACATCAGGACTCAGAATGTAGAGCTACGTTCGGATTTCAATAGTTAGGAATATTTCGTTGTTAGTGGTATGTATGTATGTAAATACACAGGAATTTAGTGGCATTACGTGTTAGATATGCGAATAGTTTAGGTGTTAGATATGCGAATACATAGGAATTTAGTGGTATGTATGTAAATCTTCCTTTTTTTTTTTCCTGCTCTCTCAATATTGCTTCTTGTTTTAACTATTGCATTGGAGGTTGGAAGGGCTGGCTTAGTACTAACAGAAGAGCAAATGATAAAGTTCTCTATTGCTCGGGCGTTGGACATACTCATGCTTGGGACACCTTTTTATGAATAAGTTTAAAGCACCAACGTGCTATATATGTATCTTTCATGTCATGGGTAAGAATCATAAATAAGAATCATAAATATGCTGCATCATAAATATGCTGCAACTTTTCAAATTGAAAAGGATTCATCTGATAATCATTTTCTCAGGAGCATGAATACTGTACAGATTTTACAAGACTTTAAAACAACATTTACATACATAGCACCTAATGCAGATTTTCTTTAGCTATATGTTTCTGTTTCTACTCTGCATCATGGTTACAAGATTTTAATTTTTGTTACTTCGTAACTTCTCAATATTTCAAATATGTTTCTGATTTTTGCTTCCAGTTCCAAAACATTGAAGATTTTCAATAGGAATTCATAGATATGAATCAAGAGGAGCAAATTGCTAGGCTTCATAAGGTACTTGCGCCACACCTCCTTCCACTGAGCTTCTTTACCTTATTATGCTATTTTATTTGTTCCATTTCATTTGTTGACGTCCCTTAGAAAATATATCATGAATGTCAACCAACAGGTCGAGCTATGTGGCACAATTATATATATATAAAAACACAGAAATTAAGCGGTCCATATGTAAATCTTCTAATTATATTGATGAGGGTTATTTTTTTTAATGATACTAATACTAGCTGTACCTGCTATGGTATTCTACCCAAATAAAATAATCATCTCCTTTCCAAAAAAATAAAAAATAAACAAAAAAAACAATAATTTAATTTTAAACAATCTTGACTTTTTATTTTATAAATTGCAAAGCAATTTAATTTAATTAAAAAAAAATGTGTTTCGGTGGAAGTCGTTGATTATGTTTTTTTTTCTTTATTATTATTATTTTTATTTATTTTTTTAATTTTTTTTTAATATTTCAATAACATAAACATTTATTATTTTAAGTAATCTTATTTTTTTAAAAAAAATTATAATATTTTTATTTTCACCTTAGAGATCTGCAAAATAAAATAATCATATATTTGATAGAGACATGTATTTATGTAAATAACCATCAATGAAAGTCATATGTTGAATACAAATCTATATCAATTAACGTCTTCTAAATATAATTATCACTTTGAAGTAGGGGTGTAGACGAGCCGAACACGAGCAAGCCCCGACTCAGCTCGTGTTTGGCTCGTTTTTATTTCGGCCCCAAAAAAATTG